GCTATTGTTCCTAGAGCACTTCATAGAACACCGATTTAAGATTTTAATTGATATAATTTTGTTCATTACATGATTTTCGTTAAAATTTTCAGTAGCCAGTAACTTGAAAAGTAATTGCTTTTTTGAAAAACATTATTAAACATTTTTCTCTTCTAATTAGGTCTTTTATCGATATCCGATATTTTGAATGTCGCCAGGTCCAAAATCCTTAAAAACTCGCTCACGTGATTGTTGGACGTCCCTCAATGTGATTTTTTTTTCAAAAATTTCAAAATCCTCAAAGATCTAATTTTTTAATGTAATTTTAATTTTTTTTATTTTCAAAAAAATTTGAAGCGTTATTCTTAAAAAATCAATTCTCGGTACGGGAAGTTCCAGCAATATGCCTTAAGGCACGATGCCATGCACCACCAGTTCATTTTTCTTTACGAAACCCAAGAAATTCTGAAGGGTCTGCCGCCTATTTGCCATCAAATTTCATCTTGCTATACAACCTTTACAACAAGAACTCTGGACTGCCCACGGGTAAAAATAAACAACATAGAAATACCAAAATATGAGAGCGTAAAATACCTTGGGATACATCTCGATAGAAAGTTAAGTCGTTAAAACAGATGAAGAAGAAGTTCAAAGAGTTGTATTGGCTAATTGGCAGGAGTTCAAATATGTGTTATGAAAACAAACTCCTTATATATAAAACAATAATTATCCCAATCTGGACATACGGCATCGAGCTATGGGCGTGCGCAAGCAGTTCAAATATGAAAAAAATACAAGTAGCGCAATCGAAAATTTTAAGATGCATTGTGAACGCACCCTGGTATGTTACAAATGACACCCTACATAAAGACCTAAAAATAAAAACTAGTAATGAAATGATAAAAGAAAGGAGGAAAAAATACCACGAAAACTACCAGGTCACTCAAACATATATTTAAAAGAATTCAGCGAGGAATATCCAACACGAAGATTGAAAAAAATGGCCATACGACATTAAATAAAATGTCAAAAAATAAAAAAGAGAGATATCTCATGGGAGATAATCTCTTAAATGCATTAACATTACAGCATATTGTTTTAAAAAATGTATATTATTTTGATTGACAATAAAACTATGCAAACAAAAAAAAAATCTGGAACTCGATTTGCGGTCGCTAATGTTACCAGAGTGTGGTAAAGGGCTCTCCGACCGGAGTGGTCGTGTGTTTGCCAATGTGGCAACACGCGTCCGACAATACAAAGCATCCGGCGCCGCAATTGTTCCGATTCGATGAGACGGAACAATTGCCTGTTCACATGATGAAAATAACTATTCATAAAATTGTTGGAGAGTTGTTGAGAAAAGCAAACATGAAAAAAAGAGTGCGCGTAAGGATCACACGCGATTGAAGTAAAACTTATTTGCTACTGTATAAAGTAGCAAATTTAAGTTTAAGTAAAAATAAATACATCATTTTGAATAATGTTTATTAGTAATATGGTAACACTCGTGATGCACATTTAATAGTGTCGTCAATCATTATACACATTTATATAATGATAAATTATAAATTATATATTTATAATAGAATTAAAAATATTTATAATATTTAAAAACAATAATGTAATTAAACTCATTCGTGAAATATGACATGATCGGTTTGTCATTGTAATTATCATTTAGAAATGAACCTTCATTAGAGAAATGAATTAATTGCTGATTAATGAACTCTATAATATTCGTTCACACAGTGGATTATATTAAACAATGCCTAAACAAATATTGTTTCTGCAACTTCACTCATCATGTAAATCAATTATGTAAATCATTTTCCTTTTTATGTGAACGTTAATACAATGATCATCATCAATATTACGAGGTAATAATTTAACCATATTATTAACGTCAACAGGCACTTTTATAATTTGTCCAAATATTCCAAATTGTACATTTGCATGTCGCAACCGTGTAATTTGCATGAAACACAACCTAGGTGAAATTAACCTTTCAGATACAGTATCTGGTTTAGGTAGATAATTTGGTATAGGTGGAAATACAAACCCGTTAAATTTACACAAAGTGGGAATTTTACCCAAATTTAATGCCTTTTGACAAGTTTGACATCCAACCTGATTATTTGAAGCAATATTCAGAAACCCATGATTAAGCATTTGTTTTTGAGCTTCATTTAATATGTTTAAGTCACTTTGAAACCAAAGTCTATCACACACAAAACATACATAGCCAAAGCTATCATTTGTAAATTGTTTTCAAACAATTTTCGTGCATTCCTAAACAAATTGAAGTCTTTATATGAAAGTTCAAATACTTCATATGACTCTTGCAAAAGATCAGTTCTTGTCACATTATATGCAGAATCATTAATTTGAAATTGACGTGATGTAGTTGGTTTATCAGAAAAAGTAACAGCAGTACCTTCATCTAAAAAGATAACAGAATAATATGTTTAAATGTGAATAGTTGTAGCGTTTTTCAGGAGTCAATTAGCGAAAAGAGATTATTACTTATGTCAATGATGTTGACATTAACATCTAAATTGATACCTGGCTCAAGATTTTCTAATAAATTGGCAGTAACTGACTGGCGATATAGTTTCATTCTTTGAGCATCTGTCTTGCCTATAAAAATAAAAATAAAATTTTCCATTTTAGTAATAACCTCAAAGGTATTATATAGTAACCTCGAAAAACTCGAATAATACAAATTACATTACTTCAATAAACTTACATTTCTTACGCAGCGCAGATTTTTCATATGTTTTATCATTTGCAATTATTTGCACTACAATTATTTATGAGTGAGATAAAATATTCTTCCGATCCTGATATTTTTATTAACTCACGATTTAATACCACTATTTAACCTTAAAATGTTTGGACAGAACACCGGAAATTTGAACAATATGCTTCACGCTTTCGGTGACGTATGCACGTATAAAGCACGCTTTCGGTGACGTACGCACGTATAAAGTCACGCATCAGAATCGACCCGTATAGAAATCATATCATCGAGAGCTGGGCGTAACAATTTCCGTTGCATTTGTACGGATTTACACCCATGTCGCGCCTAAAGAAGTTTTACTTCAAAAATAAAGATAAATATGTTGACATATTGAATAGGAAATTACTCCACAGTATTAACATAAATATATGTATATTTAGTTTGCTGTGATGTCTTCTTAATGACGTGGTTTTATAAGTTGCACCACAACAGGTGCCTATCTCTTTTTGGTGAATTTATTTTTGGAGTAGTTCTAATGCTGGTGACTTTCCAGTGATGCTAATACTGCTTGACATCAGGCTGTTTGATACAAATATTGAACTTTAAGCTTTTGATTGGAAACCCATAGCTCTAACCACTTACCCACGGGAAAGCCAGTATTCACAGATAAAACATTTCTTAAACCTTCCGTCCTGTTCCATGCAACTCGCCTTAAGTCAAACCATCACTAAAAGTTTATTTTTATTATTATTAGGGTACTGAATTTTAAAACAGGATTACACGAAAAAAAATAAATCCCACTACAAACAATTTTATTCCCACAGACAAGGCCGACTGTCCGCACATCAACCCCTAATCTGGTTATGTCGAATGACGAATTGAAAAAATAGAAAACCAATGGGGTGAGAGTGATAATATATGTGTTTATAAATACCGTGTAATGTTTATTACCCGCGAAATAGACGAAAAGAGGAAAACAAACACGAGGAAACTAATAATTTATAGGATATTTCTTTAACTTCCCGTAGGGTAGTTATAGTAATGGGCCGAAAATCGAAAATGAAAATTTTTGCATTTCTCGACGTTTTGAAGGTTTCTGAACATTTTTAAGGAGCATACCTCAGAAACTAAATGGATGTGTGTGTGTGTGTTTTGTATGTCCGCATTTTTTCGTCCACGTTTTCGGGCGCACGGATCAACCGATTTGAATGGTTTAAAAAACATTCGATTCCTATTAATAGGGAGATGTGCTGGTCCAGCCGTTAAGGAGATATGGAGCAAAGAGCGCAGAAAATAGAAATCAAGTTTTTGAGAGAACGGATCATCCGATTTGTATGATGCAAAAAACATCCAACAACAGTTCGTAATGATGGGGAAAAGTGGTTATTAGTTTTTGGCAAAGGTAGGCCCAGCGGTTTTCGAGATACAGAGCCAAATGTTAAAAATGGCAGTTTTTGAGAGAACTAAGCGTCCGATTTAAATGATTCAAAGAACTTTCTGCTTGTTTCAACAAAATAATTGCTTTTGGAAAAAAAGTTTTATTTCTAATTTTTTTTTCAAAAAATATTTTAGTAATTTTGAATTAAAAAATTGAAAAGATGACCCAGACTAAGCACAGTCTAAGCGCCACTCTGGTACAAATGTTTACTCAAGTGCGTTTAGACTGTTTATGTACCGGAGCTCTTTTCCAATTTTGTGAAAACTATTGAAAAATGTGAAAATGCCCCCAAGCTAGACACAGTATAAGTGAAAATATCGCACAGAATTATTTGCAAATGCGTTTAGACTGTGACTATACGGGAGCACTTTTTCAATTTTGTGTAAATTAGGCAACTATTTTTTTTAATTGAATTCGAAATGAAATGACGATTGTTAATGTTCTGGAGATAAATTGATTTATTTATGATATACATTTGATTTGCTTTATCAGATATAACAAGATAGCAAAAATAATGAAAGTTACAGTATTTGTAATAATATATTTGAAAACGTTTAAAATTTTTCGAATATTTCATTACGATATGGGAAGTTCCAGCAATTTGCCTCAAGGCACAATGCCATACACCACTAGTTTGTCTTGCCACTAGAAATAGTTCACATTAATAATTTGTTGAGAGCTTAAGATGTATCGATGAGTAAGATAACATAGCAGTTTAAAGGATCTCTTAATGTGTGACCCATTTGGGACACAAGACACAAAATCTTTTCTATATTTGACTTCGAAAAAATTCCAGCTATTCGTTTTCCCAACCACCAGAACTCGGATTTTCTTTTATCTATGTCGGAAGAATTCTCCCTGTCTATGGGAAGTAAATCGGGGCTTGTCATAATCAGAGATTGTGTAAAGTGGTTTGTATTTAACGCTCGATGGCCCCGAGGCAAGGGGGTGCCCCCAGATAGTATTGTGGAATACATATTGTTCGATGGATTGTTGGAACGTGCGCCATACGTTTTCCTTGTCATTAAGTCACGCGACCTCTGCAAATAACTTATTATCGGACCCTAAATAGATATGTATATATATATATATATATATATATATATATATATATATACACTAGCTGGCCCGATAGACGTTATCTTGTATAGAAATTCCAACTGAATGTGGTAGTATGTGGTGTATAAGTGAAAGAGGCAGCTAACACAAGTTATATTAATGGTTTGCCCATTCCACATTCACAATTTTTATATATTATTACCGTGCACTTTATTAACACCTCAATCTTTAACTTCTCGTAGGTTTAAAAAACATTCGATTTTTATTGATAGGGAGATGAGCTGATTAGTTTTTGGCAAAGGCAGGTCCAACACTTACGGAGATAAAGAGGAAAAACTGCAGAAAATAGAAATCGAGTTTTTGAGAGAACGGAATAT